ATGACACCCAGCCCTTTCCACTATAATTCACGCTCTGATTTTCCCTGCCAAAACAGTGTATGTTGAAGGTGAGGGGTTGGTTTGTTCTGGAGAAATGCTTGGATGAAGTGTTTATCCCATTATCTGAAAACGATTAGCAGCCATTGCTCTTAGCAGTTTTTTAAAGGAACCTGCCGCAGTGACGCTCACTCCCTCGTTTCAGCGCGCTCTCCGCGCTGTTTATGCTGGCATCGGTGATGCTTGATGGCAGCTGTCGGCAATTCGTCCAAACACTGACCGCTGGTTTTCCCTTCAACTCTTTAATCATTACGCTCGCGGTTATGGTTGATATTGCTTACAGCAGGAATTCCAGCTCTTACAACAGCCTTCATGCTACATCAGCCGTCAGTGAGAAGCGGGAGGGGAGACTTATAGCTGCTTAAGGTTCTTCACACTTAGTCATGTTTTAGGATATTACAGTCGTTGAGATCAAGCTAAGGTTAAGATCTACACTCTTAAAAAAAAGATGGTTCTTCAAGGGTTCTTTAGTATAGAAAGTGGTTCATGAACACTCAAAGAACCCTTTGCAGAATTAAGTGTTTCTTTGCGCGGTGAAAGGTTCTTCAGGTTGATATATTGAATGTGCTGCAAATGATTCTATGTAGAACCTTTTTGAAAGGTGTTCTGTATAGCGCCAAAAAGGGTTCTTCTATTGTTACAAACTTGACATTGTAACTGTAGGAGAACCGTTTTTGAAAAGGTTCTACATAGTCATTTTCAGCACGTTCTCCGTCAATTTGAAGAACGCTCTCACTGTGCAGAGACACACTTCATTCTGCAAAGGGTTCTTTGAGTGTTCATGGTTCTAAATACGACCATTTTCTTTACTAAAGAACTCTTGAAGAACCGTCACCACTACAGTGAGATATTTACGTTTGAGTAAATAGAAGACGAATGATTACTGGATGAGATGCCAAGTATTTTTTAAGTGCACTAATTTCTAAAATATTTTACAGTGAATATGCGAGTGGGCCTGTATGGTGTGAGGACCTATTAGGGCCTTTCCCTCTGTGTTATATAAGACTGAGTTTCTTCACTTCAGAGTTTAAGAAATGTGACAGTTGAGATCTGACAGTCGGTCACATCTCACAGTTTATGTAATTATATATGTTCTTAGTTATGTTTATTCTTTATTGTGTTGTAACTGCCTCATACCACTTAGTGCAATACTTACTGCTCTCATCTAAATACAACAGATCTTATATGCTGTTTAAATATGCAAATAGATATACTTTTATTTTTACTCTCTCATATTTTAACTTATGTCTTTTTCTGTTTCTGCCTAATTTATGTTTATTTTTGTTTCTATTTTTATTTCTGCCTAATGTGTGTGCAATTATAGATCTTGTCTGTCTGCCTGTTTCTATCTGTCTGTCTATCTATCTGCCTCTGTCAGTCTATCTATCTATCTCTCTGTCTGTCTGTCTGTCTGTCTCTCTACCTGTCTCTCTACCTGTCTGTCTATATGTCTATCTATCTGTCTCTGTCTGTCTGTCTGTCTAAATCTATCTATCTGTCTGTCTCTGTCTGTCTGACTGTCTTTCTTTGTCTGTCTGTCTGTCTGTCTTTCTTTCTTTGTCTGTCTGTCTCTCTACCTGTCTGTCTGTCTGTCTGTCTGTCTATCTGTCTCTGTCTGTCTCTCTACCTGTCTGTCTGTCTGTCTGTCTATCTGTCTCTGTCTGTCTCTCTACCTGTCTCTCTACCTGTCTGTCTGTCTATCTATCTGTCTCTGTCTGTATCTATCTATCTATCTATCTGTCTGTCTCTGTCTGCCTGTATTTCTTTCTCTGTCTGTCTGTCTGTCTGTCTCTCTCTCTACCTGTCTGTCTATCTATCTATCTATCTATCTATCTATCTATCTATCTATCTATCTATCTGTCTGTCTGTCTGTCTGTCTGTCTGTCTGTCTGCTGTCTTTCTTTGTCTGTCTGTCTGTCTCTCTATCTATCTATCTATCTATCTATCTATCTGCCTGTCTGTCTACCTGTCTGTCTGTCTGTCTGTCTGTCTGTCTCTCTCTCTATCTCTATCTCTATCTGTCTATCTGTCTATCTATCTATCTGTTTAACTGAAACCGTTGAAGTCTGTTCAGTTCTTTATTGTATAAAATAATTGCTTTAAAATTAGTATTAGTGACAGATTTCATCGGTCAGGCTCTGCTGACCATCCCCTCCCTACAGTGTTACTGGACTGTTTGTGTTTTTTTCTGTGGTCCCCCTGCTGTGTTCTCCAAATAGGCAAAATGAGTGGATAACATTGCCCCACATGCTGAGTCTGATGGTGTGTGGCTGGGTTGCCCAGTCCGTCTTGGCCTGGTTACCTTTCCACAGTGTGATTTTATCCTCCCTGTGTAATCTAAGCAGTGCTGAACTGTATCCATCAGCACGTTTTAGAGGTACTCATTACCATTAAGCGCACACGCTGCCTCGCAGGCCTCTTTCTGCTCAGCGAACATTTATCCTCGATATTAAAACTTCCTCCAAATGACAGGAAATCAGATATTGCAGTATGAAGGCACCTTTTATGAGTGGTAATAGTTTTTAGACCAAATCCAGGTGCACACATTAGTCATGAGCTTCTGTCAATGGAGTATGACTTCCTTTCTGCTCTGCTCTGCTCTCCCACACAGCCAGTCAGCCTTTCATAGAGCGAGTCATGGGGGTCTGAGATGCTGTGTAGGAAATGTTTGACCTTAGTAGTGGGCGGCATGACTAAAAATTGGTATTATGGTATAATTACAATTTCTGGACATATATCCAAACAAAACCTCATATTTCAAAAATTATAACTTTACAAGAGAAAGGAAAGCAGGAAAACACAGCTTTAACCTGTAATGGAACCAGATTTTTTACAGATTTCTGTTGTTTTTTACAGATTTCTGTTGTTTTTTTTACAGATTTCTGTTGGTCCATTCATCATAAATTATGCAAAAGAAGTAAAACTGAAAAAAGTAAAAAGACAAAAAGAGACAGACAAACTTAACACTCCTCTATAGAGAACACACCTCTGCACATTTTCATGCACAATTACTGTTTATTTGCTGAATCTAATATTTAAAAACAAAAAAGCTGTATGTTTTATTTTTTTTCCAATATTATAGTCAGCAAATAAATCGAAACTGTGCACTAAAATTTGCAGAAAACATCATATTTACCCCCCACTAAGAACATTTTTAGATGCTTAACTTGTATTTCTAGTTTTAACAGTTGTTGTTGTGAAATGTTGAATGTCTGGAATGCACTTTTAATAGGAACTATATTTAACAACTCAAAACATCTGGTATGGTGATGCAAACTGAGTCTGTTCTACAGTTTCTCATTAGGCTGAATGAATAACTGACTCTAAATGTAGGTATTGTGATATAAACCGAGTCTGTTCTACAGTTTCTCATTAGGCTGAATGAATAACCGACTCTAAATGTAGGTATTGTGATATAAACCGAGTCTGTTCTACAGTTTCTCATTAGGCTGAATGAATAACCAACTCTAAATGTAGGTATTGTGATATAAACTCAGTCTGTTCTACAGTTTCTCATTAGGCTGAATGAATAACCGACTCTAAATGTAGGTATTGTGATATAAACCGAGTCTGTTCTACAGTTTCTCATTAGGCTGAATGAATAACCGACTCTAAATGTAGGTATTGTGATATAAACTGAGTCTGTTCTACAGTTTCTCATTAGGCTGAATGAATAACCGACTCTAAATGTAGGTATTGTGATATAAATTCAGTCTGTTCTACAGTTTCTCATTAGGCTGAATGAATAACCGACTCTAAATGTAGGTATTGTGATATAAACCGAGTCTGTTCTACAGTTTCTCATTAGGTTGAATGAATAACTGACTCTAAATGTAGGTATTGTGATATAAACAGAGTCTGTTCTACAGTTTCTCATTAGGCTGAATGAATAACTGACTCTAAATGTAGGTATTGTGATATAAACCGAGTCTGTTCTACAGTTTCTCATTAGGCTGAATGAATAACTGACTCTAAATGTAGGTATTGTGATATAAACTGAGTCTGTTCTACAGTTTCTCATTAGGCTGAATGAATAACCGACTCTAAATGTAGGTATTGTGATATAAACCGAGTCTGTTCTACAGTTTCTCATTAGGTTGAATGAATAACCGACTCTAAATGTAGGTATTGTGATATAAACCGAGTCTGTTCTACAGTTTCTCATTAGGCTGAATGAATAACTGACTCTAAATGTAGGTATTGTGATATAAACCGAGTCTGTTCTACAGTTTCTCATTAGGCTGAATGAATAACCGACTCTAAATGTAGGTATTGTGATATAAACCGAGTCTGTTCTACAGTTTCTCATTAGGCTGAATGAATAACCGACTCTAAATGTAGGTATTGTGATATAAACTGAGTCTGTTCTACAGTTTCTCATTAGGCTGAATGAATAACCGACTCTAAATGTAGGTATTGTGATATAAACTGAGCTTCTCATTAGGTTGAATGGGATTTTTACCAGTGTTCTGTAAAGCTCCTCCAGTCTAGCAGCCGTAGTTATGAAAGCATGGCTCGATCAGTTGTTGTGGTTCCACTGCTGGGAAGTGGAGCACCGTGGCGCTGCGAGCCGTGGCGTCTGTCTGCGCTGAATTCTCTACGCGGGCATCAGAGGAATGCTCACTATGACCAAACATCTCTGTAAATTTACATCAGGAGCTGACACGCTCGGTGTCTGAGGGCATTAAATTGTGGACTTTGTCACAGGAATGTGCTTGTTTGAAAATGACATTCCTGTTTTACAGGCCGCTTTTTCCATCACCCTGGATTCCGCTTCCCAATAAACCTTTCAGCAGGCACACAGTCATCTTTCTCCATCAGACCACCGCGAGCGCGGCGTTGCTGATATTAGAAAACTATGTGCTCAGCCTGTTCTGGTGCTTCCCGTTTGATTCCCATCGCTCTGGTTGATTAATGCGTTTGTCCTTCTGTTTCCTTTGCAGAAAGAATCATAGACACCATATTATCTGTCACAAAGAATTATGGACTGAGTCCAGAGCTTGAGAGGTGAGTATGTGAGATGCATATCGAAGACCACCATGAACACACAACCTTACAAAAGTCTTCAGGGCTGCACAGTATGGAAAACACTAGTGTCGTTTCTATGAGCAGCTCAAGTATTACGTTTTATCATTGAACACAAGGCTCTCAGTTTAGTACATGCAGCTGTCGACCAATCTATTCAAAAGACTGGTGCAAATAAAGTACTCGTTTTAATACTCAATGTGTTGCATAAGTAATTTGTAATGTACACCGATCAGGCATAACATTATGACCACCTCCTTGTTTCTACGCTCATTGTCCATTTGATCAGCTCCACTTACTATATAGGTGCACTTTGTAGTTCTACAGTTACAGACTGTAGTCCATCTGTTTCTCTGATACTTTGTTAGCCCCCTTTTACCCTGTTCTTCAATGGTCAGGACCCCCATGGACCCTCACAGAGCAGGTACTATTTGGGTGGTGGATCAGACACAGCAGTGCTGCTGGAGTTTTTAAACACTCTGTCCACTTACTGTCCACTCTATTACCTTGCCAGTTCACCTTGTAGATGTAAAGTCAGAGACGATAGCTCATCTGCTGCTGCACAGTTTGTGTTGGTCATCCTCTAGCCCTTCATCAGTGGTCACAGGACGCTGCCCACAGGACACTGTTGGCTGGATATTTTTGGTTGGTGGGTCATAATGTTATGTACAAACCCAATTCAGAAAGCGGTGATTTATATTATGTTTATAAATCTACTTTGATTTGCACAAAAGTTATGGCAAAAAAGTTATTAAAAACAGTACAAAGACAAGATATTCAATGCTTTACACTAGGGGTGGGAATCTTTAGGCACCTCGATTCGATTACGATTCAGAGGCTGCGATGCGATTATAAAACGATTATCGATGCATCTTTTTTCTCTATACAGGATTTCTATCTTCATACTGTCTGAGGACTTGGTAGTTTTAAAGCAAAGTATTTGTAATGATCTATAATGTAAATGCATTACGGATCATTACAAATACTTTGCTTTAAATATCTAAAATATCTTTTATTAATAAATCAAATGGAAGTGATGTGGCAAGTGAACTAGAAGGCTCTCATTCAGAGACGCTGCTGCCACTCATCTGTGCTAAAATGCGCTGTTACCCTGAAATAAGATCCAGTGGTGATAGGTGTCCACACAGCACGTTACAGCCGTCCTTCCTGTTTTCTTTAGTGATCTTATAACTTCGGTGTTGGTCTCGTTGTAGAGAATGTGTGTGTGTGTGTGTGTGTGTGTGTGTGTGTGTGTGTTGGGGGGGTGTATTTTCGAGACTGGACGCTGAATCTTGGTTCCAAAGTGCGCAGCATAGCGCGAAAGCCCTGGTTCTCAGCGACTGAGAACAGACAGCAGACAGCAGGTCACATAGCCCCGAGGTCTGGCCTCGCCAGTAGCGAAACGAAAAAACAGAGATTCAGACGAACATTTGGAGACTTATTCGCATTTATAAGCAGCGCGGTTGGTTAAATCTGCTGAGAGACTGTCTTTCTTTAAAACGTTGCAAAAATGAACTCGCTTCTCTTTCGAATTTTCCCATTCCACCTTAAATGGTGCAGCAGTTACATTTGGCGCCTAAGGCAGAATTTAAGGTGGAACAGGTGGAAAATTAGAACGAGAAGCGACTTCAGCCTCGTAAAACAGCCGGACGCTGAGACATTTTACAAGAAACTCTTCTAGTTTTGAAGAAAAGTTTTCTGGAGGAGATGGGAGGAAAGCGGCTAAAGCTGAAGCTTAAAGCAGAGCGGAGTAAATCTGCACTCTCGTTTATGTTGTTTAGTCTATACTAGGACATTAACACACACTGAGACATACTGGACATTAAATGTTGTGGCTCCCAAGGTGGTTTGATATTGTTGAAAGGACAAAATGGCTCTTCTAAACATTTGTGTTGTGACTCCTGACCTAACCTGGCTTTAATGCAGAGGGAGCCGGTCGGATTTCTCACTCATCCAGTTGTGTTTTTGTTGTGTGTCACTACAGACTGTCCGGGCGCTGCACTTCCGCACTTCGAGTTCCGCCTTTTGCGTTCCGTCAACGTTACGTTATAAATTAAATATTTAGAAAATCGATTTTTGACATTTATGAATCGATTCAGAATCGCTCACGTCCGCATCGCGATACATCTCAGAATCAATTTTTTCCCGCACCCCTACTTTATACACTTAAAAATGATGGTTCTTCACGGATTCTTTATGGTTCTATATAGAACCATGAACACTCAAAGAACCCTCTGCTTGATTAAAGGGTTCTTTGCATCATGAAAGGGTTCTTCGACTTGGAGAATGTGCTGTAGATGGTTCTATTTAGAACCTTTTTGAAAAGGGTTCTGTATAGCACCAGAAAGGGTTCTTTTATAGTTTATTATTCTTATATTATTACGATGTGAAGCCTGTAGGTTTTAGGATCTGTGTAGAACCATCTACAGCACATCATCTCCATCACTCTGAAGAACCATTTTATGATGCAAAGAATCATGCAGAGGGTACTTTGAGTGTTCATAGTTCTGGATAGAACCATTTTACTTTACTAAAGTGCCCTTGAAGAAATCTTTAAGTATGTACCTTTACGGAAACTGATGCTTGCAACACGTTCCAGAGAAGTTGTGAAATGTTTAAAGAACATCTGAAACAGGTCTTGTAGTAATGCTTGGGTATAAAATGAGCGTCCAGGAAAGGCCTTTATCTTTAACGAGTAAGGATGGGTCGAGTCTCGCCACTCTGCCAAAAATGCATCATCAAAAAATCCAACAGTTTTATAAAACGGAGAGTTCTGGTCCTAAAATCTGATTGGCTGAGCTGCGTTCGAAGCTGTTGTAAAATCCACCATATACGCACACCTATGACCGCCTCACAGCGACTGACCTTATGTTCTTAACTAGAACTAGGCTGGTCAGGTAGCAAACAAACTGAAACATCATTAATCTCCATCATTAATATCACAGGCTTGAATTAAAGCACTTACAGTGATTAACTGTAAAACTGCAGTATAAAAGTCTAAAAATGTCACTTGAATGGATTAAGCGTTTCAAATGTTCATGTTTCAGTCATAAGTCACGTCAAACCCAGGCTGAATCCCAAACGACTCCCTAAATACTGTTCTAGCTGTGAAAGTTTAGAAATTCTAGCCTCTACAGCCAAACAGTGCTTTATTTATCGAGTGTGGATGTTTCTGAATCCCAAATGACTGTTTCTTAGCTGTATTTTGCTCTGTTGGGCTGCAGGATCCAGTATTTAAACTCCTAAGTAGTGCACTATGTAGGGAGCAGGGAGCTGTTTGAGATTCAGCCCCAGTGTGAGAAGAGGGCGCCGCTGGATTGGTGCTAAATAAGACTCACGGTGGTGATTTGGTGACCAAAAAGTTCTTATAAAGAGAAAGTTTTTGCATTAAACAGTGCTGTGATATGTTCATAGTTATACGACAAACAGTTAAAAAGTTCATGAAATGACCACAATATACAGCGATGGGCGACCAAGCGTTCTCCTCCTCATTCAGCAGTTGCTTGGCAACGACACCTTATGCTGAAGGAACTACATTTCTTGGCAGAATACTTGTTTGATCATTATTAATAATAACTTAAATTATTTTCCAGAAAAGTGTGACTTTTTATGTTGGCCGTTGTTTTTATAAAAGCAATAAGCCATTTGAGGCTGTGCGTTACTGTGTTTTACTTCACGTTACGCTGTGCCTAAGAACACGCATGGCCAAAATCCCCAGTGGAATGCGGGTGACCTTCAACCCCTCAGACAGCATTGCATTAAAAATCAGCATGTTTTTCTGATGGATGTTGCTGCTTGGGCTTTGCTGGCGGCTTCTCTGAACTGGAGTTCATCTGAAATAGACTGATGTTCAGTGGAAACGTGTATTGTGGTCGGACGAGTCAACCTCTTTAGATTGTTTATGAAAATAATGGACGTTGTGTTCTCTGGGATAAAGAAGAAAGGACCATCCTGATTGTTACCAGTGTAAAGTTTCAAATCCAGAGTCTATCATGGTGTGAGGGGGTATTAGAGGGTAGAGGTTGGAGGCTCAGTTGCACATTGCTGCTACCTGCAGTATCAGCACCGCAAGCCAAGACTGCAATAATGATTAGCAAAAAATATATTGTGCAGCCCAGAAAGTTGTGAAGTTTTATGTAATTATAAGATTGTGTTTAATTGTGCTTTTTTTGTGTTTCCTCTTTTGCAGTTTGAGCTGTAAAAGATGTATAATTGTAGGAAATGGAGGAATCCTCGCCAATAAGTCTTTGGGCTCCCGTATTGACGAATATGATATTGTGGTGAGGTGAGTATTTGCAGACAATATGGTTTAATTTGTGGGTGGTACGGATGGGTGGTACCCACTTTTGTCGTACTGTCAAACTGTCTCCAGATATTACCGCGATATTTGGTAACACCAAAAAAAAAAGTGTAAAAATGCATAAAAGTGAAACTTATTCAATAAAACTCAAAACAGCAATGTAACAACAATTGCTAAGGTTAAACAGTGCTCCCAGCTAAGAGAGAGGAGCTGGTTGGCATTAGTGTAGCTAGCATGATAACAGATTTGCTTACCACAGAACTTGTTAGATGAACTTGTTAGATCTGATTGAATACATTCTGATTAAGACTGAGTTGTTTATTCTCACTCTATTCAACAATCTGATGGAAAATCTCCGTTTACATGCTCACTACAAGTAATCCGATCCAAAATTACACGCATGCATAGAGAACCACTTAGTGTAGATGTTACCATGACAACCAGCATCACGTGAGTCCAGTCAGAGTGAGATGAGCAGCAGTGAGCAGCACTTGTGTTTTTAACTGCTTTAAAATGATGTCAGACTCAGGAAAACGTCCTTCACACGTCCTTATTAAAGAAGGCCGAGAGGAAGACGTCGTGTTCTGAGACACATAAGCTGGACGTCCGTCCCACCGCCGTCTTTTAAAGATCAGAGCATAAACTTCGTCTCCTCTGCAGACCAGTTTCTGCTCCGCCATGTTGAACGGTATAAACTTTCACTGTGACGCGACGAACATGATCAGAACAGACTTAAACTTTCCGATAGGGAATGTAATCAGATACAGGCGTTTACACGGATACTATTCTTCTGTTTAACAGGTTGTTTACTGGATTACCCACCTCGATCAGTCAGATAGGAATTATATTCTGAACGGCCTCAGTCTGACTAGTCTATTCTGATCGATGTGTTTACCTGGGCGTATTCTATTGCAATTGAGATATTAGTCGGATTATTAACGGATTATTAGAGAGAGCAAAGTTGAGTGAACGAACACTTCGTTGAGTCTGTTCTGTGGTGTTTGGAGCTATAGCTTGTCAGCTAACGTTAAGCTAACGATGGCTTACTTAGCAGATCAAAAGTGCCGCACACTGCAGGCTCAGTTGTCGCTAACTGATATTCAAATTACAACATTTAGAAATTAGACTCGTATCTCACAGCTCAGAGTCGAGTGAATGGTGTTGTAACGGCCGAAATCAAACGTGTTCTGTGCCATGTAGCTGTTCTGATTTAAATATCAGGTAAAAAAAGATACCGTAACTGGTACAGCGAGACTGTGGGAACTAGTTTTGACTCTGCAGTGGAGGTTGAAAGAATCTTTGTTCTTCTAACTACATTCTTCATGAATTTTGCACAGTGCTCTACATGTAATCTGTACAGTATGACATATTTTGAAAGCATTTTTAAAATATCTATTACTTCATTTCAAAAATATATGTTCTTATGTTGATTTTTTCCTAGATTAAATGAGGCTCCAGTTAGTGGTTATACCAGAGATGTGGGCACTAAGACCACCATGAGGATAACCTACCCTGAAGGTGCCATCCAGAAACCAGAGCGCTATGAGAAAGACTCCCTCTTCGTCTTCTCCGCCTTCAAACCTCTGGACTTTAAATGGCTGAGGCAGATGATCTTCAGAGAGAAACTGGTGAGAGCAGTAGTTTAACTGATGAGGAGAAGATGAGGCCTCTTATGATGTTACAGCCAGCAAATGCATTGTTTCATAGCTAATGTTGCTAGGCTAGACAAGCTTTACAGAAAGCTGGCCAAAATCCCTTTCAGCCTAATGAGAAACTGTAGAACAGACTCAGTTTCTATCACAATACCTACATTTAGAGTCAGTTATTCATTCAGCCTAATGAGAAACTGTAGAACAGACTCGGTTTATATCACAATACCTACATTTAGAGTCGGTTATTCATTCAGCCTAATGAGAAACTGTAGAACAGACTCGGTTTATATCACAATACCTACATTTAGAGTCGGTTATTCATTCAGCCTAATGAGAAACTGTAGAACAGACTCGGTTTATATCACAATACCTACATTTAGAGTCGGTTATTCATTCAGCCTAATGAGAAACTGTAGAACAGACTCAGTTTACATCACAATACCTACATTTAGAGTCAGTTATTCGTTCAGTCATTCAGACTCCAGCTTAAATTCATTAGGCTGAATAGAATTTTTGCCCGTCGTTGCTAAAGCTTGTACAGAACTGTTGCTATGACAGAATGCATTTGCAGGCAGACAATGGATAGGTCACTTTTTGAATGATGGCCTAACAATGCATTCCCATATCCATATCCTACATCTAAGCAATATTGTATTTATATATCGTTGATCTCAGTACAAAACCTTGTACCTCCAAAATGGTATCTTTACAGGAGAAGGCAAATATATCATTAACTTTAAATGGAAGTAAATGTAACCAGATTTTTTTTCCAAGTAATTTTGGACCGTTTCTATTGGTCCATTTATTATGTAAAAAATGATGTAAAAGAAAGTTTTTAAACAACAAAAATGGAGATAGAAGGTTTTGTTTCTGACAGCAACGTTATGTTATTGCTCACATGCTAACTTTGCACAGCTCCTACTTCCCTTATACTGATGACTGATGAGTTTGAGGAGGTTACAGATTTGTCCCCTTTTTATATCTGAAGCGTCACATGCATTTAGAGTGTTCATTCGACTCTGACCCCCTCTAATGAATCTGCAAGCTTCGGATTGCAATTCTGACGACAAAAGAATTTAAATAGGAGCTGCTGTATTGGTCCATGTTGAGGGAACACAGCTTATTGTTCTTTCAGTTCCATTTTTGACAGGCGGTAAAGCCGGTTCCTGTCAGGCTTGACTGACGGCCGGCGAATTAGCCCTTTAATCGCGAGGGGTCGTCCTGGCTGAATGAGTTTCCTCTTATCTCAGCTGAGGAAGGGATGGCAAATTTAATGACTGCGCTTCCATCCCGCCTCTTATCACCCAGAGAGCACACAAGCACTTCGCTTTCCTCTTAGGTAGAGGCCTTGGAGAGGGCACGCCCGGTGCACCTCAAGGGCACATCTTCTTTTTTTATATTGGCTTTCACATGAACTCCTTAAACTCTAAGGGTTTGTGTGTGGGTCCACACTTCAGTCCTTAATTCTGTGTAACCTACATATATGCAAGGTGCAAAATACGTGTTGTCCTGGTGGGACATTCCCAGTTAGCCCTTTGGACCCCCTGAAGACAAGTCAAGTCAAGTCAAGAGGCTTTTATTGTCATTCCATCTATGTACAAGTACACAGTGGAGCGAAATTATGTTCCTCCGGGAACAACACGGTGCAACAAGGAACGAGAAGTACAAAGTGCAAACGTGCAGACGTGAGTGTGCAAACAAAAATTAAGCTACAAACAATACAATAAATGCGCTAAATTAAACAGACATTAGACACAGTAAACAGACAGGACAGTGCAGCGCCGACACAGCACTCGTTTCTGAGCGTGAGGTAGGGTTGTGGAATAAGGTGCAGACATATTTAACATGCTGTGATCTGTCAGATAACATATGTATATGAAAAGTATATGAATATACCTATGACTGAAAATATACCAATGACATTGTCCATTTGAGAAAAATAGATGCTCAAATATGAGTTCAGGGAAATGTCAGTGTTGCTGTGCTTTATTTTAGCCTGATTTTACCCACAAATGACAAGTTTCTGTCTTCTGTGTTCTTATGTAACTAGAGAAGCAGCACTGGTCTGGTTCACTGTTGGAAATTGGTAGCTTAGCAAATGTAACTAGTGTTGCACTGATACTGTGTCGGTATCGGTGCCGATACTGGCTCTTAAACGCAGTATCGGTATCGGTGATGGGGATACCGATACCTATGACCGATACCGCAAAGTGTTTTCTGACGTGTGCATGCGCACCGGTAGACAGAAGACCACAAGCAGCAGTAAAAATGCTCATGGTAGAATCTGTAACAGCAGTTTTTGATGCTAAGAACATGCTAGCTGAGCCGTTTACCTGGCTGAGCTGCTTCTTTCAGTAATCACTCGTCTGCCGCTGTGTGGTCACTCACAGTCTGAGATAATGTTATTGAGAGGGCGGAAGGAGCCGCCGGACTCTCGGTGTAATGATAGCCTTTAGTCTTGATTTAGCCTATGGCATAGCAGCCCGGTAGCGGGGCCGGTGCGTCCACTCACCCCACCTGCGGTGCACCTCCGTCGGTCAGCAGTGGACGAGAAAAAAGAGAAAAACACTGACAGCGCGAACGACGGTGGTGTTTACTGAACTGACGCTCAGAGATGCAGCACGTGAAACAACATTCAGCTCCGTTTTTGAGCCAGAGTAGCCGCTGTGTACTGATGTGTAAACGCCACGGGTTTATCTGTTTACTGTTCAGCTCTGTTTTTAAGATATTTTACATTTACTTAAGTTGTTAAAAATGGTTCTTAGTACTAATTATATAATAGCCAATACTAAATATATGCAGTAAATAGAAATAAGTGCTCTTGGGCATATAGTAAATATAATCCAACAAGTAAATGTCATTTAACCAAGCTGAGCGTGTTTTATTTGTGACGGAGAACATAGATTGTACCAAAAATAAAATATTTTAAAAATATTATTGTATAAATATCAGGACTTATAGGTGAGTTAGGTTAGATAGAGTTAGTATTGGTATTGGTACTCTGTATCGGCCGATACTAAAGGATCAGGTATTAGTATCACTATCGGAAGGGAAGAAGTGGTATCGGTGCACCTCTGACAAGCTTTCAGAGCTTTAACCTTTTAACTGTCCCCCATTTTTGCCTTAAATGGCACACCCAACGTAACAGGAGCTCTGTTCCCGCATACTTTGGGCTACAGTCATGATCTTGGTCTCGTTTAAAAGGTAAGAATCAAGTTTTTTTTCCTGACCGTCAGAATAACTGTATGAATTAGTGACTCAGAGTAACAGAGTCTAGAATGGAGTTTATTTCCTCCTGACTCATAGATCTCTAAACTGATCTCTGACTCTTGCTGTGTTATCAGACGTCATGTTTTGGATGATGGAGAGGCTCTGATGCTCTGAGTGCTGATGTTGCAAATGAGGCAATTGTAACTGTTGTGAATAACACATGAAAAGGTTTATGGGAGTCAAGCTTGTGGAGCAGTTTTGGTGTCTACCAGGTCTTCCAGGTGGTTGTTAGGAGTCCCATTTTCTCTGGAGCTCTTAATTATTTTTGTACTCCTGTTTTTTTTTTACTTTTCCCTTGGTTTTCTCATTGCTTGTGCGAGTGGATTATCTTGTATCTTATCTCCTCACAGAATATCTCCTGAAAAACAAAACAACTTGTGCTTAGTGGCTGTTTTGGCCAGAAATCAAGTAAATGAAGTGTCTTAGCGAGGATGGCTGGTTAGCGATTTCTTATTTAACTTATTTAACTTTCTTATTTAACTTTAATTTCATTGTTATCTGAGCATTTTGCTGCCATTCTGTCTAGCAACAGTTATCTGGCACACTGCATATGTGTATAACTCTCATTGTACTGCTCAATATTTCATAGCAGTTACTGAATAATAAGTCTTAGGCTTAGTAACTGAATAATAACCCTGCAGTTAAAGGGTTTAACAAAGACCTGGCAGGTTTAGGAGATTAATGATTGCTCTTTTTCCCCCCCTTATTGTAGGAGTGTAAAATGCATCAGTGCATTGATGTACATCAGTGTCGGCCAAAATAAATTCCTCTTTTAATTTGAAATCTAACAGCCCAAAACAATATTGGTGTATTTTTTATTAGGAATGGTACCAGAGTTTGAGTTTTTCTGTTGATTTCCTAAGGAATCACAATCGAATTCTATCAGGTCAGAGAAATTCACAACCCAACTTTCTCTAGTCCAGCTTTACTCTGTCATCTTCTGCAGAGGCAGTTCTGCTTTGTTTTTTTCCTCTCAGCCGAGTGTGAATCTGGCAACCCTGCGGTCCAAAAGCTCGCAGCCAGCACAGCTGCATGACTTTAAGGGAGCGACAGCACAGTGGAATTTTTACAGGGTGACATTTGTCAGCGTGCGAGAGGCTCAGCAGAGGAAGAAAAATTGCGGGCTGTTTGATTAGCCCGCTTTGGCTTTGAAAAGGCCAGATTTTTTTCTGAATGTCGGATTGTAAGGGACAGGACAGTGGAAAAGCATGCAGATAATGGATCTGCCCTCTGGCATCTGATAGATTGCCTTTGATCTCATAGTAGCAAGAGTTTCGTTTTTTTTCCAAGTCTGGGGTCAGGAAAGCTCCAGCGTCTGCCATAATATTAGTAACAGCGCTTATACAAGGAACACCCATTTGTAATCTCGGGCAGTGCGTTCGCACAGTAACATGGAAAGGTTTCCATTTAATGTTGATTGCATCTCCATCAAGACACAGATTATCTTAATTAAGGCCATTTTTCCACTGTACATCCAGAATCTTTCTTTTTGGGAAACTTGCTTGCAGCTTATCAAAGAAATCTGCAGTGATATTTTTCCAGAGTTTGGTCTTAGAAGTTGGTTGGGCTTTCTGTTTCTCGTGATCCGTAATGTTGAGTTGTACACTGCAAAAAATGGCATCTTAAAAAATGAAAACACCTTAAATGTAGGCAGTATATCTGATATTTCTCATTATTAGATTGATGTAGGTGTATTAGAAGATTAT